GTCAGCATTGGAAAATCCACGGAAACGCTCCGGGGATGCGAACAGCTGCTGCCGCTGTCAGGAAATCGCCGGAGCCATGGACAAGAGAGCCGCAGAAACCAGGCTTGCACTCAAAACGAGACGTCAACGACGAGCAGCACGAGGAACCGCCACAGCTACGCTGGAAACCTGTCGCGGTGCGACAGGCCACGCTCAGGATGTGTTCACGCGATAGGAGAGCTGAGCAGAACGCGTGTTTGTTTCTCGGTACGTATATCGTCACAGCTATGACCGTAGCCTTGAGAGTCGCAGTCACGTCGGAAGAAGGGGGATCTGGCGTTTTCACTTGAGCTGTTACACAGGCGCCCGTACGATCAAATCAAGAACAACCGATGTGAGCGAGTATTTCTACATTAGGAAGCTGCTATGCCTTACTCGGCAGAACCCCTGCCTCTGGTTTGCAACGACTGGTACCCATCGGCTTGGACAAACAAATGTTTGCGCACTCTGTGCCCCAGCTCGCCGAATTCAAGGTAGGGCTGGAAGGACGCATACTGTGCCTCCCTAGGTAGTCGGCAGTCATGTAAAAGATATTTCGAGGTCCGCTTGGCCAACGCTAAAGGACTCTATGAACAGGTTCTAGCTCGAAGCACACAATGACGCTGACGTCATTGGACAATCAGACTCCGACACAAGCTGTTACAACCGAGGCGTACACCAGCGTGACAATGACTTGAACAGGTCCTCAGGAAGGGACTGGGCAGCCGCAGGCGTTGCAGCTGTGCTCGGCGTCGCCGGCCACGGTGACGGCATCAATGCAGAACTACTGCACTGTTCGGGTTCGTTCAAGCTCAAAATGAAAGCAGGCATACGAAAACCTATGTAAATCTATGTCTATACAAAAGCACGAAGGTAATCGAGTACTGTGGAGGTAGATATTGTGAAATCGCCGACTTTGGGGGTCCGCCGACTACCCAGTAATAGGGCTTTGACATCTTGCGTTACTCTCATGTTTGTTTGTTCCCGTCCGAGGGCGCGGAGCCCATTGCTAAGAGCTACTGGAGGCTCATTCACACTCTACGCTGTATGGAGTATAAACCCGTCGATATAAAATAAAAAAGACTACCCGGTAATAGCAGCGCGGGAACTCCCGCAAACGCCGTCAACAACAAGCATCAATCCGCGGAAGTGGCGCAGAGGTCCCGCGGCCCTTGTCTTTGTCCGAGGGGTGAGGAGTGCAGACGGCCCTCTCCTTGTCAAAACTAGGGGAAGGAGAAGGAAAAAGCGGAAAATTTGGAGACAGCAGCGGGATGACCCCGATGAATGGAAAGCCTGAATGGTGCACAGCACGCGACACTTCAAGTTCGCTCCTCCTGGTTTAGGCTCTTTCTCACAGCGCGCGGACGCGATCCTTGACATGACGGATTCGGTGCAAGCTGGGCGCGACCATGGCGCGTTCTGTGGGAGGTGCTTCTGCAGTGTATGATGCGGTGCACAGTGGGATCGAAGCGCATACGATCGCGGGACGGAAGCAAACCAGCGGCCGGCGTTCGATCAGAAGCCCAAGGGAGTCGCGCGGGGCAATGAATCGGACGTCGACGACGCCCGCTCGGCAGCTGCCATCCCCGGGCACTCGCCTGCCGCCTCTGCAGCCCCCGCCTCGCGAGCGTCGCTGCCACTGCTACTACTCCCAGCGCTGCTGCTGCTACTGCTTCTGCTACTGCCCAGGTCGCGCCATGCCAAACACGTCGCGCCAGGACGACAAGGACCGGTCGGCGAGGGCGCAGGAACAAGAGTTCAAACGCGCGCGCGGTGCCATATCTTGCGCAGAATGCCGCCGCCTCAAGCTCAAGTGCGACAAGACCGTCCCCTGCTCGTCGTGCAAGCGCCGCGGCTGCTCCTCCATCTGCCCCAACGGCAGCCTCACCACCGGCCAGGGCACCAGGTGAGCGCCGCTGTCGCGTGTTGCGCTGTGTTGCGCTGCTCACCCGCGCGCGCACAGATTCATCCTCGCAGACACCGACCGGCTGCACCGCAAGATCGCCGAGATGAGCGACCGCATCCGCCAGCTCGAAGACGCGCTCGCGATCCTCCAGTCCAGCGTCACGCGCGACCTGCACCCGCTGCTCGTGCAGGACCTGCTCAAGATCAAGTCCGGCCTCGAGCTGCACTCGGCGGCGCACCTCCAGGGGCGCGCGGCACACAGCGACGACGCCGGCGAGCAGGGCGACGAGGAGTCGCAGTACATTGACGCGTTCGGGACGCTGGCCGTGCGCGACGACGGCGCGGCGATGTTCTACGGACGCTCAGCGGGGTCAGAGGTGCGTCTACTGCTTATGATTAGTGTTGTGGCGCGGGGTCTAGCAGAAGCCCATGGCGATTGCTGGCAAGGGCGGCGCCACTGGCGAATGGTATTTCTTCACGCATAGAGGCGAGAACAAATTTCACAGCGCAACTACAGACCGAAAGACGATAGCAGTGACCCGCTTCCCCGGGGCTTTCTCCTTGTCTTTGTGTATCCCAGCTTCCTCTGCCTCGCTGAGGGTACAACACCCTTCCGAAGAGAGTCTGAGCCACGCCTGACTTGCGAGTTGCGCC